TAATAATAATAATAATAATAATAATAATAATAATTGATAAATAAATAAGTAAATAATAAGAACAAAAAGAACAATAAAAATAAAGTAGAAATATGCTAAACTATTTGTCATTCAACGGTATTTATATTAGTTTGCTGATAAGGTAAAATTGCTGTTACCGTTGCTACTGCTGCTAATGCTGCAGTTAGTACTGCTATTATTGCTGCAGTTACTGCTGCTGATGTTGATGTTGCTGTTATTGCAGCTATCGCCAACTTTTCTGTCATAGATGCAGTTACATGTGAAGAAGAAGGAGATGTAGAAAGAAATTTATTTTTAGTTTTAATTGGTGAAAAAGTAGTTATGTAAATCATGAAAATACTTTTACAGTTAAATACAGTTGAGACTGCAAAAATTCTGTTTTAAATTCAGGTTTTTTCTCTATTTTTAACAAAATTTGCTCATAATAATTATTAATTTACTCATTAGTATGACTTTTTGTATCTTTCACTGTCAAATGTTTGTTACGTCTCGGTTCAATACGTTTCTGGATCATTATTACAGATGTTGATCATCTTGATCATTAATTTGACTTAAAAAAAAAAATTATTCTTTGAACATAAGTATCAAAAAGAGGAGTGTTTTTTTTTTCAATTTTTAGTTTAACATCTGCCTCGCTTATCCCTAATTGCTTAAGCAGTGTTTTTGCTGAACCATCAACTGGAAAACAACTGCTGCTACCCTTACTATTTAAATAAACCGTGGTTTTTAAGTGCAAAAGCTTATTTTGCTCAGTATATCAGGACGTTTTCTTTTTTTGTTTTGATTTTTCTCTTTTCTCCCTTTGTATAGTTATGTTTTAAGATGCTATCAATATCAAATTGATCATATAACAGAACTTATTAGTTTGTCATGTACAACCAAGTAAGTATTAAAAACTTCAAAAAAGAAATAAAGAGACCGAGCAGATATATATATTGTTTTTGTTTAAAGCTTATTTAATGAATTTTACGCTTCAACTGACTTCACTTTAAACTTTCAAAGCAAATATCCAGATCATACGAGTCGCTTGAACCAAGGAAAATGTGATTTAAATTGAATATGCAAAAGAAACAAAGAGAACAAAAAAATAAATATACGTGCAGATAAAAAATTCAAACCTGGAAAAAGATTGTACTGAGACTCAATTCTGCCATAATTGGTAAATTTACCACGTTGACCATTAAAACTTTTGCTACCAGGAGTTTTTTGTGAAATTGATGACCGAAATCTTAACGATCGTCCACGGATACCACCAGTACTACTGCTTGATGCTACCGACGAACATGATGATCCTTCAGTATTTTCAACCGAATTATCACCAGGTGCAGTATCCAAAATTTCACGAAAACCGTCTGCATTTGCTGCTGATGATAGCAAATGTGTTTCTGGCGTATCAGAAGCTTTCCGATATCGTGGTGCATGCATTCCAACAATGCTAATGACACCACCTTCACCATCTTCACCATCTTGTTGTTGACAGTTTAGTGATTTACACCAATCGAAGAATGCCAAAGAACCAATAAAAGGGAAAGCCATTTGGTGTAATAGCAATAAGTGTATAAAACAGAGCAGAAAAGCCAAAAAAAATCAACTCCAATGACAAGAAAAAGAAAAAGGTGATAAGTTTTTTTTTTCCTTTCCCTATCTGATGTGAATTTTTGATAGAATTGATTTTTGATTCGCTCGCAAAATTTTCGTTTCTTTTCCTTCTGCTATCAGTTTGATAGTGGCGGTGGTAATAAGAGAATTGAATAAAGAATCTAAGAAAGGTGAATATAGGTGTCAGCGAAGTTGGTTAGTCGATATCAACAATTGATCAGCAACAACAAGATAAAATAAAAAAAGTGTAGTAGTAAACATAATAAAGCTGCAATAATGTGTGCAACAAAACAACAACCACAAATAACAGAATATAAATACTACCGGCGTACAACCTTACATACTTCTCAGAAGCTTCCCACCCGTATAACTTCTTTTTTCCTAGTGGCTTTCCTTTTCGATGAGTTTTTTGAAGAAAAAAGGCAAAAAAAAAATTTTTTTTTTCTTTGGTTTAGTCCTCACAAAATGCTATTGATTGTGCACAATTTTTACGCGCAATCAATGATGGATTCACTTTGGCCAACGGAATAAATGCATATATGTGGCTCTATAAAAATATGTAG